ATATTATTAATAACACTGTTTTCTTTTTAAAATTGGGTTTTGTTTTTCCTACTTTGTTTTTTAGGTTTATTGTGATCACAGGATTGTATAAAATGTATAGTAATAAATTGTAAAAAAGCAGTTCTCTTGTTTTTGAATTTTCAAAAACCCCTTTTCATTTCTGGTTTTGGTCTATAGATTTGGGAAACTAGGTTGATCTGGGACAGAAAAATCATCTTTCTCTAGCAGATATCAGTTGCCTTTCCTGTTCTATTAACTATCCTTTCAAATCTTCATGTCTGGAGAGGCAAAAAGACAGCGTTGGATCCCTTAGACTGGAGTTACAGATGTTTGTCATGAGTGCTGGGAATCAGAACTAGGCCCTCTGGGAGAGTAGCCAGTGCTCCTAGACCCTGAGCTATCTCCCCAGCACTGTTTTTAAAACTTCTAAATTAGCATACAAAATAATAGGCTTCATGTGGCTTTTTTATAATAATCTTTTTGTTTATCCTCTCCCATTGTTCTTTCCTACGTATGTCTTTTTGTTTGTTTGTTTGTTTGTTTTTGATTTTGTTTTTTGAGACAGGGTTTCTCTGTGGTTTTGGAGCCTGTCCTGGAACTAGCTCTTGTAGACCAGGCTGGTCTCGAACTCACAGAGATCTGCTATGTATCTTTCTTAAATCTCCCCCACCTCCAGTGTCCCCTTTCTGCTTTCATGGTGTATGTGTCCTCTTGACCTCTTTTCTTCCTCACTACCTCTTCCTCTCTTTGGTCTGCTCTAGATTCATGACCTATACTAACACATGCTAACTAGGATCTGTGTATGAGAGAAAACGTATTATTTGCCTTTCTAAATCCGGGCTACCTCATTTAATTTGCAGATCCATCTGCAAGTTTCACAATTTGATCTTTCTTTGCAAGTGAATAAGTTTTTGTGTGGCACTTTTATTATTTGTTTATCAGTGAATGGATATTTACACTGATTCCATTTTCTTGTCATTGTAGGACCACAGTAAACATGGATACTTGAGCACCTTTGAGTAATACAGTAGTTACATGTTTTGTTGGTTGAGAAACCTCTATAGTAATTTTCTTATCTGTTATTCTGGTTTAGTCTCCCACCGTACATTGCAGACTGTTCAGTGAATCTCCAGTAAGCTTCCTCATTGTTTGCTGAAATCTTAGCTCGAGTTCATCTTTTTTTTTTTTTTTTTTTTTTTTTTGGATTTTTTTGAGACAGGGTTTCTCCGTAGCATTTGGTTGCTGTCCTGGAACTAGCTCTTGTAGACCAGGCTGGCCTCGAACTCACAGAGATCCGCCTGCTTCTGCCTCCCAAGTGCTGGGATTAAAGGCGTGCGCCACCACCGCCCGGCTCTTCAAGTTCATCTTTTTAAATAAAAAATAAGCTCCCATAACACCCTCAAGTTGAACTGCTAAAACTCCTATAAAGACCCTCTTTGCCCGTGGTTCCATGGTTCAAGCAATTCTGAGGCCTTGTGTACTTGGACACTGTGCATGGTTGCAGCAAACAGTATTTTTTTTAAAGGAGTTCTGGCAAAGTTTTATTAAAAAAGGAAAACTATCCTGGTTTACTTTTCACCAGTCTGTTCTGGCATGCTTCTAATAATATCAGAATCACCTGCGTCAATAGTAGCCAATGTGCATACTCTGTAGTATTTTGCATGTACTGTGCCCATTTCAATGTTATTGCCACTGTAGTGATAGACACCAGTTTTAGCCAATGTGGCATAGTATTTTATTTCAGATTTCCTCAAAGCTGGGCAATTGTTGGTGAGGATAGCCTTCAGAACCTATCGTTGCATATACTTTCCACTTTTCCTAACAAACTGGAGCCTAGAGTTGATGGACACCAGGGACTTTTCATCATGCAAAGAAGCAGCCATTATATTCCAGCCTTAGGTGTGAGACAGCTTATCAACACTCTCTCTGTCTCTGTCTCTCTCTTGTCTCTCTCTCTGTGTCTCTGTCTCTGTCTCTGTCTCTCTCTCTCTCTCTCTCTCTCTCTCTCTCTCTCTCTCTCTCTCTGACAGTGTTTCTCTGTGTAGCTTTGGTGCCTGTCCTGGAACCAGGCTGGCCTCAAACTCACACCTGCCTCTGCTTCCCAGCAGGCTCAGTATTCTTTATGGCACTTTGTTAATCATTCTTCATGGCTTTTCTATGAAATCTTGGTATTAATTTTTGAGTGTCTTTGTTCTTATTTGCCTTTTGTTAATGTCAAGCATAGCATGTTGGATAATTCAATGTTGCTATGCAACTGCTAAATTCAATATTTATTATTAGCAAAACTGAGTAGTGTTAACATTCAGTGAACAGAGAACAGCAGAATGTGGATCTTATAGTATACCGTGTCTAAGTGTAAAGTTAGTGTTTTGAGGCAAGTGTGAACAGAAGAGAAATGACTTGTATATGGTTATTATTTAGAACAAAATTAGTTGCGACTAAATAGTTCTTTTATGACTAAATTTGTTGTTATTGTGCTGTTGACTGCTTGCTTACTAGAAAGTAAATGTGCGTACTCTCCTCCCCTAATACAGAACTTGAATCGGTAGCCCAGGCTGGGTGTGGAAGCTTAATATGTAGAGTAGCTCTGAACTTGTGGCATTCCTTCTCACTTAACCTCTTGAATGCTGGATTATAGGCATACATCATATCCAGTGAGTGCCCCCCCCCACCTGTAATTTTTTTTGGTAGTGATTATGTGTTACTGTTATTCTTCAGTTGACCTATTTCAGGTTCTGTTCTTTGTAAATTTTAAATTATTATCTCTCACGCTGTTACCTCTTTTTCTACTTTGCTAGTATTTCTTGCTGTATTTCCATTTTCCTTTTTAGAAATTGAGACTTAGAGCACAGCATGTCATAGTGGTACTTGTAACCATAACACTCTGGAAACTGAGGTAGAAGGGTAAGAACCGGATATCATCCTGGGCTATATACATAAACCCTGTCTCAAAAATAAATACGTAAAATTTGCTTGCTCTGGAAGTTTGACATTTCTTATAATTTTATATAAACCCAGGTGAAAAATACTAGCTTATTCTTTCATGTAAGAACTACCAATAACCAATCATATTTGTCAGCTAGATTTTTAGATATTTAACTCTAAGATACTCAAATGTTTTCACTCCTATTTATAAAAATAAAAGTTTCTTTCTGGAAAATAAGAGGTCTTAAGAGTTGGAGACTGTTTTTGAGATTTACTTAAAGGAACAGGGATTAGCTATTGAGAGTATATAGTCTCCAGGAACTATGATAGATAGCTTTTAATCTTCATCATTGTTCCTAACCCAAATACTTCCTTTTTTTCGAATGTTTGGAAGAGCAGGAGGATACAGTAATTAATTATATTAGGGGATTAATTAGGGAAACAAGTTGCTATTTAATTAATGAGTAATTTAATTTTGCTATTTGAATAATTTGATGTCAAGAAATAAAGTAGACAGTTGGCTTTCTAACAAAAAATGAAAAAGTTACAGTTTAAAACAATCTAAAAATAAACTTTAATTACAATACACCTTTAGCAGCTATTGTGTTGAAAATTACAGCTTTCTAGGAAGTAGGACAAAACATTTCTTGAATTACAATTTGGGTTTTTTTTTTTGCCAGTTAAACAAGATAGTGCTGTTTTTGTTTTTGGTTTTTCGAGACAGGGTTTCTCTGTGGCTTTGGAGCCTGTCCTGGAACTAGCTCTGTAGACCAGGCTGGTCTTGGACTCACAGAGATCTGCCTGCCTCTGCCTCCCGAGTGCTGGGATTAAAGGCATGCGCCACCATCGCCTGGCGATAGTGCTGTTTTTGAAGACTACCTTTTTCCTTTTAATTTTAATTGTATATGTATTGGGGTATTGTTCCTGCTTATGTGTCTGCGTACCATGTGCATATTGTGCCTTTGTAGACCAAAAAGGGTATTGGACCCCTGGGACTGGTGTTACTAAGGGACAGTTAAGAGGTGCATACAGATGCTGGGAATCAAACTGTGGTCCTCTGGAAGAGAATCTTGAGCCATCTCTCCAGCCCCTTAAAGGCCAGCAATCTTTTCTTTCCTCTTTTGCTTTCTAAATTCGTTGAAAAATAATAATGTGTACCAAATGTGCATGACATTCTTTGTAAAGGTCACAGTTAAAGTGCATACAGAGTCACAGAGTCTCAGATCTTTTGTAATAAGTATTTGAACTTTATAATGAAATCCTTGGTTTGTTTTTTTGTTTTTTTGGTTTTTTTTTTGCTGAGGTTGGGGGAGCCACTGCAGATTCCACTTTCTCAGGGTTTTCTCTTTCTTAACAACTCACAACAGCAAGATATTTAAGTTAACTTTCATTAACTACATGGTAGTATTTGATGTAGTCAGTTAGAAAACCTGGTTTTCTTCTTTCACACTGGTGGGAGGACACGGTGGTTTTAAATGTTTTGTACAGCTGTGTGAATTTTCTCTCTTTTCTGTTTATGGACCTAGGTTTTACATTTATAAAGGAACTGGTCAAGTAGTTAATATTACATTATGGAATAATACAGGGCTTTCCTTTTAAAAATAGTGAGAGGTGGGGAAACTGTTCTTGAGAATTTTCTTTAGAAAATTACTGACCCAAGAGAGATTTATGCATCAACTGTTACTTAAAAAAAAAGAGAGAGAGAGGACTATTTAGATTATTCTAGAAAGTTTATGAAATTCTGAATCATGACACTTCTTTGGGAAGGCACTTTTTAAAATGCTAATTCCTGTAAAGTTTTGTCGAACAATTAGAGAACTGTGAATTTCCATTCCATCATTAGTTATTTCTAATTTCTTGGTTTTTTTTTCCTTTTTTGCTCTTGAATGTACTTTGAATTTTTGCTGTGTTAATCATTAACAAAAATGCAAACACCCCTTTTTAGATTTTTGTGTGACTCTTTGCTGAGAATCTCTTCAATATTAACCAATGATTCTTGAGAAACAGAAGAAAGCAATATTTTTCAGTGAATATTGTGATAATGGATTTTATTTTATTTTATTTTATCCTTTCAGGATTTGAAAGTATTCTTGAAGGGCTGTTTGGACCTGCATTATTAAAAGATCTCAGTTTAATTAAAGGTATTAAAAATACTTGTGGTATTTCACAACCCTGGTGATTTAGGTCTCATACTCAGTTTTGTCAGGGTTAAACTGCATTTGTGTTAGCATCTTTGTTTGTTCTATACTGTTAGTATGTGTGTAGGTAGCATAATTAACTAGTGAGCAGCTAGCGAAGAATTTTTAAGACAGAAGTGGTTGGGGGGCATAGTGGAAAGAATTTCAGGGTATGGCTGGGGTAGAGTACAAATATTTGCATGTGTGGGACCCTTGAGTTTGATTAAAACACAAGAATTCATTCAGGCAGTGGTGGTACACACCTTTAATCCCAGCACTCAGAAGGCAGAGGCAGACTTTGAGGCTAGCCTAGTGCTAGGACTGTTAAACAGAGAAACCCTGTTTTTGGGGAAAAAACCCATAAAATTTTAATGAGGGTTTTCTTACACTACATCATATTTTGAAGTTAGCTATAGTTTATTTTCTGGAAAAAAATTTTTTATGACTATTAAAACTTGTTTTCCTTACTTTTGCAGAGTGTGAACCCGAAAGCATTTCTGATTGGGCTTTTGATGAGAATTGTTTGTTCTGTTGCTTGAGAAGAGATAAAGTAAAGGTAACCAAGAAATTTGGGAAACTGTCTAGTATGGTATCTTAGTTTCCTTTTTAAAAAAATTAAATCATTTTCAGGAAAAGGAAAATTTGATTTCCTGTTTATATACAAAAGTTGATAGTAACTGTCTTTTCAGTTTAAACTGTTTTCAGTATGTTGATGAGCCTATTAAAATCTTACATCCTGACATACATTCTTATGTATATTTAGGCAGAATAATTGACTGGGTCTCAAGCTGTTGATCTTAAATATAAAAGTTTATGGTAATTTAAAAAATAGAAGTCTTTTGTGATACAAAAAGATAGTAGTTACCAATTAATGTAGACTTAAGACTTAGTAAGTTTATATTTTTAAATGTGTTTTTGTAAATGTTTCTGGCCTTGTTCAACCTTTGGGTTTCTGTTTTACTGCCTTGAAGAAAAAAAAGCATAATTTTGTGCTGTTGTAATAAGAGTGGCGGGGCTGCGTCCCCAGCACCCCGGCCGCCTGGCTAGCTTATTCCCCGAAATAACAACACACAAATTGTATTCTTTTAAACACTGCTTGGCCCATTATATCTAGCCTCTTCTTGGCTAACTCTCGCACCTGGACTAGCCCATTTCTAATAATCTGTGTAGCATCAGTCTTACCTGGAAAGATTCAGCATGTCTGACCTGGCAGCTTGCTTCATGGCGTCTGCCTGGGAGAGGGGAGCATGGCCTCTGAGCTCACTTCCTCTTCCTCCCAGCATGCTGTTCTGTTTATTCCTCCCACCTATGTTTTAAACTATGAGGGCAAGCAGTTTCTTTATTACTTAACCAATGACCTTCCTGCATCATTGTGCTGGAAAGATTTCAGTTACTAAAAACTCAATGGTGGGTTTACCACCTTCCCTTGCTTTCATGGTATCCTGTTCCCAAAAGTTTCCTGCTACAAAGCCTAGGAAGCATTATGGTTTATTCTTTCTTTTATGGACTAACTTTACTTCATTGGCAAATTTCTGTCAGTTACTCCTGTTGAATTTTGTTCTTTTTCATCTCTATGGTCATCACTGTAGTCTATACTCGTAGCATTATTTCTGGACATTTTCTTAAATACCTCTTCTTTGTAACTTGAGAATCTCTTGCTTTTTTCTTATGGCTCTGCTGTCCTATGAATGGTATACACCTGCTCCTGTTGCCATTTCACCTTTTATAGTGTTGTAATCTATGTAATTTATACCAATTACTTTTTAGTTGGTATTAGGCCTTATTTTGTTCTGCCTTTTCTGAAAGTTTTGAGTTCCTTTATTTCCAATTGCTGAAAATGGCCATACTTACATCTTCTTTGTATCAGTTATTGCTGTTTTACTGGTTATTGTTAAAATATTTGACATCTGAATGCTATCGTGTGAGCAGTTTAAGAGCTTCTTAGATATATTAGGGCATCTTTTTCTTGTTTTCCACATGAAAAATTGTTGCTACTGCTATACATGGTAGTCTATTTTTGTTAAATTAAAAACAAAGTTGTTTTGAAATTTACTGGATTTGAATGAGTAGAGAATAAAGCAACATTTTTAACTGTAGGCTGTAGTTGGAGTTAATGTTTGATGTTTAAATTCTGCGTGTTTGCATTTATGTGTATATCTTGGATACTAGCTATTGAGCAAAGCATTTAATTAGGAATTGTGATAGGAAAGAAGAACCAGTTTTCTTTTCAGATTAGAATTGGGAAGAAAGTTATTCTCGGCCAAGTAATGGGTATAGTATGTTACTGTAATATGATTGAATTTTAACTTAAAATATTTTTCTGTGGGGAGGGGGTCTGTGCACATATGTGTGCAGGTTTGCTCATCTGTATGCGTACACATATAGAGGCCAGAGGGTTGACTGTGGATATCTTCCTCTATTGCTCTTCACTTTATCATTTGAAACAAGGTCTCACTGAACCTGGATGTCACTGCTGACATTCAGACTGTCTGGCTAGTGAACCCTTGACATCCATCTGTGTCCTTTGTTCACCTAGCTCCCTGCAGCTATTCCAGGTGTGTACTCTTCATGCCTGACCTTTTCATGGGTTCTGGGGATCTGAACTTACTGAGTCATCTCCCCAAATGGAGAAAGGGTGTTTCTGTTTGACAGCTCAGTTGGTTCTAAGAGTCTGTTTTCTTCATTTGACACCATACAATCTCTGTGATTTATGATTTTTTTTTTCAAGAGAGCCATCCAGTACTGGAAATAGGAAGTGAAGAAGCCTAAGTAATATAAAATTTATAATATGTAATATATATAATATAAAAATATAAAATTTATAAATAGCCTTTGTTGTATTATAGTAAATGTATTATATGTCCTGAGACTCTTTGCAGACATTTATAACATCTTACCTGAGAAAGATTAGAATTTAGAAATAAACCTATTGCTTTGTAGCTTACCTATATAAAAATAGAAAATAATGGAAATATCAAGAAAATATGATAATATCTAACAATGTTGTGCATGTTACTGGATCCTTGAGTTTGGGGTTAATGATGAGATAATCTAGAGAGTACGTCTGGAAAAACAGAAGTAATAGCCTATCTGAGGAAGAGATTGATGTTATGTATTTTTTTTAAGATAATTGGAATTTTAGTGACTAATAAAGCGGTTAGAATGAATAACGTAAATACAACTTTAATATTTACTCGTATGTAAGTGAAAAAAATCAAAAATAGCTAGCTATCTTTGGGAAATGGAACTGATAATCACCTATTGTTTACAGCAGTCATTCTTTCTGGGAGAATGTATTTCTACGACCTAAAGTTATTGCGTGTATTGAGTCTTGTATACATACTGCTTTTTCCTGTGTATAAAAGCTTATATCTTATATTTGGGCACAGTAGAAAGCAAACAACAATGACTAAAGTTGTAACACTCAGAATGTTTCCTGTTTATACTTCCGTTCATCAGATTAGTGCCCTTTCTGCCTTAAGTAAGCGCTTTGATGTATCATGGCTATAACTTTGTCAAAACTAGCACTAATTTTGCTTTCCTTAACATTTTCACAAATTGAGGCTATCCCTCAATTGTTTTTTTTTAAATTATTTATTTCACTTTAACGTGAGTCAGTATTTTGCTTGCATATATGCCTGTGCGTTATATTCATGCCTGGTGCCTGCTAAGGTCAAAAGAGGGCATTGGGTCTCCTGGAAGTGAAATTACAGATGGTTGTGAGCTGCTATGTGGATATTGGGACTTGAACCTGGATTCTCTGGAAGAACAAGTGCTCTTAATTAACTGCTGAGCTAGCTCTTCAGCCCCTATTATTAGTTTCTTAGCAGCCTCATTATACAAGTTTTAAAATATTTTTATTTTTTAATCATGTGTATATGTGTATGTTGGAAGGAGGGGCTTTGTGCCAGTGGATACCAGAGGTGTTGGATCCCTACAATGGGATTTTGATGTGGGTGCAAAAAATTGAATTCTATTACTTCTGGGAGGAGTGATACATATTTTAATCCAGCTCAGCATATGATTTTTTTTAACCCTTAGAATATTAAGAACCTTTCACTCATATGAAGTATTTTATGGCATTTCGGAATTTCCAGCTTCCCTACATTAGTGTTTTGGGCATTATTTAGTAAGATACAGTCTTTAACTGTAGACAGCACTATGGTAGCATGGCAGTTTGGTGACTGACATATGACTGTTGTGTATGGCGTGAATGCACCAGACCAGAGTGCGGCAGCTTGAGATTTCACCTTACCTGTAATAGCACATACCAAAACTTGGTAATTATTACTGTTTTTTTTTTTTTTTTTTTGATTTTTGAGACAGGGTTTCTCCGTAGCTTTTTGGTTCCTGTCCTGGAACTAGCTCTTCTAGACCAGGCTGGCCTCGAACTCACAGAGATCCGCTCTGCCTCCCGAGTGCTGGGATTAAAGGCGTGCGCCACCACTGCCCGACTTATTACTGGGATTTTGCATTTAATAGTTGACATGGAAACTATGGAAAGTAAAACCACCAATAAGAGAAACTGCTTTAATAAAATACCACAGAGCTTAGGGAATATAATTTATAGGTAACGATAGCCATCTTTTGAGTAACCTCTCTGCCAATACTTTTTTGTATGTTGTGATTTAATCCTCAAAACAATCCTGTGAAGTTGGTTTAAAAATATTCTAATTTTACAAATAAGAAAATGGAACGAAGGGGTCAGAGACTGTTACAGGCAAAGCCGCATAGTTGAGATTTCACGTTTGTTTTTGGCATTAATCCAGTTTGTTAACAAAAATAGCAGTGGAAATGCTGAACGTGAGAGGAAGAATTCAGCAGAACTTGGGATGAGGAAAATAAATGAGCGTAAAGTAGTTCAGTGCTGTTTGAAGTGGCCAGTTTTAGCTATGCTGGGAGCCAGTGAGTCCCTGACTTCTTGACTTGCTTACATCTTTTCCTTTTTTGTTTATTGGCAAAAGTAAGTATTCTGTGTATTTACTAAAAAAGAAGCAAGAGATTTCATAAATTTGAAAAATTATATTAGTGTGTATTTTGGGTGTATCCATCCATTTGCCAAGAACATATTTGTAATCCTCATTACTTACTCATCTGCTTGTTAAATTTTTTTCTTTGGGCAGGGAGGGATATTGTTTTTTTGTTGTTGTTTTGATATAGATTTACTCATAGACCATGTTGGTCTTATACTGCTAATCGTCCCATGTACTAGGTGATTTCTCTCTTGCTTGTCAGTTCCCAAATAACCACTCTGAGGCTTAATATTATGGCTTATTTATTATTAGCTAGCTCTTAAAACTTATACTGACCCATTTCTATTAATCTATATCTTACCACGAAGCTTGTGGCTTGTTACCTCACATCTTTCTTCCCCTTAGGCTGCTAGCATCTCCTTGACTCCTTTGCCTTCTTTCTCTTTGTATTCTATTTGGCTTTCTTGCCTAGCTATATTCTGCCCTGCCATAGGCCAAAGCAGCTTCTTTATTAACCAATAATAATAAAACATATTCACAGCATGCAGAGTGGCATTCCACATCACTCCTGCCTCAGTAGCCT